TTTGCAATACCTGTGAAGAAATAGGGGAGCATGAGAGGCAGTTGGCCATCTGCTAAGGAGAGGCTACTGTTTATGCTCCCTGAGAAGTGGTGTACCTCAGAAACGTAAGGACTGGCAACAGCAGAAGTATATCTATTGCCCAATTTAAAAATACCACCCGTGGGAAAGTTACGGTCATCAGATATTAGAGTCGTAAGGGCTTTATTCGTCCCCTTCCCGAGCTCTCCCGCAGATACCTCCAGATGAGGTGGCTGGGTTCTGTGACAGTTGTGTGTGCCAGAGCTTCACAGTTTGGAGGCATTTTTTAAACGGCCGAGTGGCAGTGCTGATCTGAACGTAGCATGTGAGGGAACCGGCCCTGGGACAGTGCGCCCGCCCCCACCGCCCCCCTCCGTTACCATGTGACTGCAGGAGTAGTGGTAGCCGAGAGGTGTCAGGGCTCCTGCTGGTGGGGGGCCGTGCTGCCGTTCATCCTGCACTACCTGAGGTAGTCCTCGGCAGACCTCACAGGGAACTGTCTGTGCCTGCTTCGCTCGTCAGAGCTCGGAAGCCTCGTCGCGCCCTCCCCTGGAAGCCGTCCACGCCAGGCCGCCTCCGTGCGTGAGAGCATGGGACCTGCAGCCCATGGCTCAAAACCTTGTGACCTTTGCCCCAGGTGCTCCCCCGGGCGAGTGATAACAAGCCTGGGACGATAATTTTAAGAAACTGCTGTCTGACGCAGTTCCCCAGGGAAAGATAGGTAGAATCTTAATCACCTAATTGCATGTTAAAAAATCCTGCCTGAGTCCTTTCACGTCTCAGTTCTTGGTTACCTGGCTCGGACTCCGCGGGTAAGTCACCATGGGGCCCGACCTGGGAGTGCTTCTGACAGCAGTGATGGCACGTCAGGTGTTCCGGGCACAGAGTCCAGGTTTCTTGGCACCTCTGGCTGCACCTCTGCTCTCTGGCCTTACTTCAGAAAGTCCCATTTTATTGTCTGTTTTATTTCAACATCCCTGTTGTCATCACTCAGTGGGTCCCGCTAGGGGCCTCCTGGCCCTCGGGGCAGATCTCCTTGTGCACTGAGGCTGACGGGCATGCGTTGTGTCCACTGTAGCAGTAAGCCCCGTCCTATCGAACAACCACGGCAGCAGTTATAACCTAAAATACATTACCCCGTCCGTAACCTCTAGAAAATCTCATCTTTTCTTTTCAGGATGTCCAGAAAGCAGAGCAAAGGGCTTAGATTTAAGGCATTCTTATAGAAAGAGCTTTTCTCCCAAACTGTTTACCCATGCAAATTCCTTAAATGCTCTAAGGCATTACCCTCAGAGATAAAAAAAAAAAAAAAAAGGAATATTAATAAAAACGAACATTTATTGAATGCTTGTTCTGTGCCAGGTTCTGTGCTAAGCACTTTCCAATGATTGTGTAATGATTTCTCTGGAAAACCCGTGGAGGCAGGCATCGGGTCACTCAGCTAGTTGAGTGGTAGCGCTAGGATTCATCCTGGGCAGCCCGTCTGCACAGTCCGTGCCCAGAGCACCTCGGCCTGCCTGCTGCTGCAGTAGCGCCCACCTTGGAGGAGTTGCATGGGATTGAGCAAGGTAACGTGTAGAAAGTGCTTTCAGCCGGCCTGGCATGAACATCCGTTCAATGCTGAGCGCTGCTACCAATCAGCAGTTCAGGCACCTGGGGGGGCTCCGAGGGGCTGAGAAGGGGAAGGGCTAAGGGCACGTGAGAGGCAGTGGCTCTGGCTGGGTGGGCATCACTGGCTGGAGGAAGGCCCGGTGGTGCTCAGATGCAGGGGTGTAGGGCTAGGGCAGCCAGCACAGTCCCGAAGCACAGGCCCTGTGCTGATGTACAGATGACCCATCCCAAACTCTGCCTCCAGCCCTTCGGAGCATCGGAGACTTTGTCTTCCTTTTTTCACAAATGGAGTTGGAGATACCCGCCTCTGCCCGTGGGCCTCACCAACTCTTAATTGGGATTTTCTTTTACTTTTGGTTTAAACCTTTGTTTTTTGTTCATGCCAATCTATTCCTTTCGGAAATAGATGATAAAATGTTCTCAAATGGGTAGGATTGGAGTTGGGGGCACAATGGCCACAGTGCCGTCTGTGTGTTTGCGTGGAGCTAACCCCAGCCTCTGGTCTACCTGCCACCCTCCACACACTGACGTTTCTTAGGATCTTGTGGGATTACTGCATTTTTCTTCTCCAACCATGCTTTGTTGTTCAGCTGTAACCTCAGATATCCACTCTGGCTCCTCCCCCTCAAGTCGGTTAGGCCAGGCTTCAAGAACACAGTGAATGTCGAGTCGCGCGGGTTCCGCCGTGACCATCAGAATAAAGCACAAGGGCTGGACTGTGTTCCCGGATGGCCTTGAGCATCCGTTCCCTTGGTGCGTGACTGCTGGCGACTGGGCGCAGAGAGGCGGTGACAGTCCCAGGGCTGCTGTGGGATGTGTATGAACTGGATTTAGTGTTTCAGTGCCATTTCCTCCCATTTCAAGATTCGGAAGTTTAACTGGATTTATAACTTCTCGGGAAGTCTCTCCTGAATACGAGGTATTCTTACATTTGATTCTTAGTTTTTTTAGATTTCAGCCGGAAACACAATAAATTCATTTTTTTTTAAATATAAAAAATTCACAAAGCAAGGTGGACCCTCTGACTGCTTTTCTTCTAGAGATGATAGCAAATACAGAAATGACAAAGCCGAGGCCCAGAGGTGTGACTCACCCAGGATCAGGGGATGTGAGAGACAGTATGAAATTCAAACAAACACCCAGTGATGTTTACACACTTAGCACATGCTTCAAATAAACCAAAATAAGCTGTATTTCCCACCTTAAAAGAGAACCTCACACACTGTTCTTACTGTTGTGGTTCCTTTCAGTGTTGCCAGCCTCATGTGGTAACTGAGTCACATGGCTGGGTTGCAGCCAAGCTGAGATCCCTTGCTTTGGGGCATGTTGGGGTTTCTTGCTCGGGTGACAGTGGCCTTCAAGTCTGTGCATGCTGTCGCCCGTATAAAGATGAAACTTCCCAGTCACCCTTAACGTGACCTCTGTACAACAACAAAGGGGTTGTTAATGAGGATTGTGTGTGTACCTCCCCCCTCCTTCCTCCCACCCACTGACAGGACCACCCACACTTGGAACACCCAGTGCTTGCAGGGCAGTCCTCGAGATGAAACCAAATCGCAGCTTGCAGTTTACCCCTAAAGAGAGAGTGAGGGGTGGAGCCAAGATACGGTCCTGCTTCTCTGGGCTTTTTCATCAGAAAGGCATTTGTGCCTTTTGGTAGGAGAATAGGCTTGGGGAAGGCGCCCCAGCCCAGCCAACAAACTGGTATTGTATCCTGTGCCGTCACTGTGCTAGTCACTAGGGACTCAAGGACAAAGAAAACACAGTCCCCTTCCTAGAAGGTTCTTCCCAAACAATACTGTAATAAATCACCACCATGTCTCTTCTCTTTGAAGCTAAGGGTAGGAGTTTGTGAGGTCAAAGGAAACGGATGACACACCCAACAGAAACAAAGGGCAGTTGGGGATATATCTCTGCAGTCTTCGCTGGTGCTTTCTTGGTTTGCCTGTGGTTGAAATATTAAAAGAGTGATACTTCTCCATACTGGTAGACTAGCCATCGCCTGTGAGGAAACAGATCTGGTGTCCTAATCGTTACAGCTTACATGGTACACCAGAAATTGCTTAGAAATATCTCAGCTGTGCTCTCTACGACAAATACAAGAGTCTTTCTACTTTACGAAAGAGGGGGCGACTTTATTCCCTAGACTCATGGAATCTAAAGCAGGACTGGACCGTAGAGATTGCCCAGCATAACCTGTCGTCTTAAACTCAGGCAATGGGACCAGGGGTGAGGGCGTTAAGTGATATTCTCCAAACAAATGCCCAGTTGGGGCAAAACTGGGTCCATATGCTGCCCTGGCAAGTCTTTACCCCAAGTTCACCCCAAAAATCACTGAAATTACTTATAAAAATATTCAGAGGAATATACTGATGATGGGCCTATAATTGGCTTTTAAAGAAACCAGGCACATTTTAGGGGACAGTCTTTGGAAGGTGACTTCAAGGAGGTCTTTCAAGCACATGGGCTCAGTGGTCTTCAGACTGGTTCCTGGAGCACCCGGGGTCCATCAGAAATGGACTCTTCCCCACCCCACCCCCACAGAGCAGCTCTGCCTGCATTCATTTGCATTACAGAGTATCCTTCTGAGTGAGATTTCTTTTGAAATGAATTAACCTGAAAACTATTACCCTATAAACAATTCAGCAGTGCTACTAAGAATACAATTTTATCATCATCAGAAATAAGAGGGCTTGAATTTCTGTTTGTATGTTTTTACTTTGGACTCTTATGGACCCAAAAGTATCCTTCCCCACTGCCTCCACCATGGCAAACCTGACAGAGCCAACAGGCACTTGGGAGTTGCCTTCACAGAGTCTTTTCGGAAAGTTCTCTCCCATTTGGTCTTCCTCATCCAGCAGAGTTTTCAGGCAGATGTCTTCTCCAGATCTTTGACTGGTGGAGACCTAAGCAGCTACCGCTCACAGCTCCAGTTTATTGTGTTATTGCTGTCGGCAGAGTTCTACCTGCTCTCTGATTGTTTACCATGAATAATCATGGAGACATAGCACAGCGCTGTCACATGCCGAACACTGAACAAGTAAATGGAATTCAAACTGTGAGCAAAAGCACCTATTTGATTCTGTTGGTTTACAACCTCATATTCTTGAAGCAACCCATCTGATCCTATGAAGGACTGTTGTGAGGGTTAATTTTCATTATGGGGCAGTTTGTTATTTCCTAAGTACATCAGAAGAAAAGACTGAAAAGGAAAGGGTTTCTTTTGGGTTTTGTTGTTTTGTTTTGTTTTTTTGTAATTAATCAGGAAATAAAATATACTTATTATTGAAACATTGCTGTAATAGAGAGAGTTTGGTGCTGAATTATTTTGAATTTGCTAAGTATCTGTACCTCTTTGTTCCTTTTTTCAGAATGCTAGAAGATGACCTTAAGCTAAGTAGTGATGAAGAGGAGAATGAGCAGGTAAGATTTCATTTTATGTTTCTGTCTTTGAATGTGACAGAGCGCCACTGACCCAGTGGGCTGTCCTGGGAGTTGACTGAGTCATACACATTCAAAATTGTGGTATTCTAAGATGCTGGGTACCCTCTGGTAATTATGAGCTTCCATGCCATGGGGCCAGTCCACTAAAGTATCTTGGGCTTAATTTCCCTTTTAAAACTGTGATGCTGTGATTTTTGTGTCATTGAAACCAACAATGGGAACTGACAAAGAAGCCGACTAACATCAGACTTCAATACAAAATCAACCATTTTTTTGTTTTCTATTTCTTTTCTTTTTTTTTTTTTTCTTTTTGGCAAAGCTCACTGGTCTTCTAGAGACCAAGCATGTGACCTAAACTTGTCAGCATGTAACAGGCAAGCTGTAACATTAAATATTGAGAAGTCTTATACAGATATTATTAACATTGAGAAGAAGCAAATGTAGAGGTGAAACTTAAATGATGAATAAAAAATAATCATGCTCTGAATAGGCTGTTTGTCTTAGATGATAAATGTGCTTAAAGTGTTCTCCCCTGGTGTTGATTTACAAGCTCAAGACATCAGTCAGGGGTTTATAAATACTTTTCTGATCAGTCAAAGTGGAAAAATATCCACATAACATTCATCACTTTCAACTTCTGCATTGCAGGAAATGTTTGTATTTTAAAGCAAGTTTGAAAACACAAAAGATAGATTTTCCTCTACTTCGGTTTCCTTTTTCTTATTATCTGTGTGGAATTTTTCAAGTTTGGACAAATGTGGTAGGTATAAAGACAATCCAGAGAGGTTTTTCCAGAAGTTATTTTTACATGCAGTAGGAGACAGTATGCGGTTGATTTGGAATCGTGAATTTTATACAAAGGTGTCATGGAGTGCTATACAGGCGATTCAGCTGTCTAGCCAGCAAACGCATATAATGTAGAAAGTGTGCAGAGGTGAAATAAAAGTCAAAGGAACATTTCCAGGAAGAGCATCTAAGCAGAATATGGCTGTGAGGTCACAGAGGAGTTTATTCACCTTGAAGAAGGTGAGGCACCAAAGAAGGGCCTGGATGTGAAAGAACTCGCATTGAAACTAGAGTAGCAGCCAAGTGAAGAAAGGTTAACTGAGCAAGGAAAGCTGCTCAGGCTTCGGGTTTTGTAGAGACTGATGACTTTGTTTCTAGGTGTGCACACTAGGACAGTCAGATATCCATAACACAGCAATCTTGGCAGAGCTGAGAATGACTTCACTCCTAATTTTGGTTCCTCATCTATGTGACTATCAGCTTATCATGTCTTCATGTATTTCCCAATGAGAGGTTCAGATATGTACATTGTGGATTAAGTCATATCAGATGTGTAGATTGTGTATCCTTTATATTAGAAAAGGGATTCACAGAGTATTGCATTCAGCAAGCTTTCTTAATTTGGAAGGAATTTTCCAGAGTTATTTCCAGGAAATATTTCCACTGAAAACTCAATTTTAAAAAAAATTAGTTATCAAGGATGTACTAGACACATTCTCTAAGGCAGTAAGAACTTTAGGTTGAATCATTTTGCTTTATTAGCTACTGCTTTCTAATCTGTGACCATGGATAATATTGTATTGAGAATATATGGGTTAGATCCTTTATTCTTACATTTGGTCCCTCTGTGTGTACACCTTTCCATCGTTTGCAATGAGAGCAGCTGACAGAATGAATGATTTTTATACGGTGGTATAATTAAGACTCCAGACGGTGGTTTGTATATAGTAGTTTAAGTGATTGCTCTAACACTAATTATATTAAGTTATCCTGCTTTGGCCTATAATTATAGCCTGGCCTAATCACAAAATCATAATTTCCATGCTTTTAAAAAAGACTAATGATATGGTATTTTTTCCCTCCAAGACCAAAATATGATTGTGCCCCTGAAGAGTAGAGCTTATGCACATGCACAGACACACACACATACACAGACAGACACACACACACACACACACATACTGCATTTTTCTGTCATTGGGAGATAATTAAACGTTTCACATAAATGATTTTGCCAGATACCATCAGAGTTTTTCCCTTAACCCAAAATCTTTCAAAAATGTATTGTACATTTCCCTGCCTCAATAAACAGAGAATACTAAACTCCTTACCCTTCTCCTACATGACATCTGGCTGTCCTTGTGAATATTGGTCACTTGCTGTGACAAAAAGATATCCACAAGAGCTTCAAGTTGCTGTGCCTGTTTGCCCTTCCTCAAGTTGCCTCAGACTCACATGCATTTGAACACTGTCTAATGCTTCCTTTATCCTCATTGTCTTTGTGCTCTCAAGGATGAAGAGACAGGCTAGTTTAGTGAGTAAGCACAGGCTCAGCAGCCAAGCTCCCTAGGTTCAAATCCCTGCTCTGCTGGTGACTCAGTAGCTTTGCAGCCCTGCCCAAGTCCCCGAGGTGTTCTCTGCTCCAGGGTCACCATTTGTAAAATGGGAATTAATGTTAGATCCCCAAAACCTGCCACTTCCTTGGAACTTGGGCTCACCTGTTATCTTCATGTCACCGGAACCAATGGGCTTTTGGTTTTTTGCTTTTTAGTCAACTTATAACTGAATATACCATACATAGAGAAAAGTACACATAACCTACGAATACAGTGTGATGAATATTCGTAAACCGCACACACACACCCATGTAATAATCAGTACCCAGATCAAGATATAGACACGGCTAGCCTCTCAGGTCTCCCACATCCCCATCCAGTCACCGCCCTCCAGAAGAATAACCACTCTCCTGTTTTTCTAACACCATAGAGTAATTTTGCTTGTTTTTGAACTTTATATCAATGGAATCATACAGTGTGTGCTCTTGTTTCTGGCTTCTTTCACTCAGTGTTATGTCTGTGAGACTCATCCATGTTGCATGTAATTGAAGTATGTTCATTTTCATTGCTCAGTCATATTTCCTCATGTGCGTATACCTTAATTTACTTACCCATTCTACTCCCGTTGGGCACAAAGGTATTTGGGGGCTATTAGAATAGTACTGTCATTGATATTCTTGTACAGGTCTTCTGGTGAGCATATGGGAACATTTCTATTAGGTCTATGACCAGGAGTAGAAATCAGGGCCGAGGGGTATATGCATGTTCGAGTAGCTCATCTCAAACCTTCATCCAAAGCAGTTTCACCAACTGACACTCCCATCAGGAGTGTAAGAGAATCGGAGTTGCTCACATCCTCACCACGTTTGTCTTTTTATGGTAGTGAGCAATATTGTTCTGAAGGTTCCTTTTTTTTGTATTGTCTTTGTCTGGTTTTAAAAGAAGGGCATTACTGGCTTATAAAATGACTTGAGAAATGTTCCCTGCACTTGTTTTTTCTTGAAGAGATTAAATAAAGTTAATGTTAATTTTTCTTTAAACACCTGTCAGATTTCTCCAGTGAAACCACATGGGTCTGGAGATTTTTAACACAAATTCTATTGTCTGAATAGTTATTTCACATGGGGTAGGTTATGGCAGTATGTGCTCTTTAAGTAACTGGTTTATCATGTTATTTAAGTTGTCATATTTATATATAGAAAGTTCTATTCTTTTATTGTTCCTTTAATGTCTGGGTCGATGGTGATATCCCATTTCATCTTGAGACTGATCTTATTTTTGTCTTTGTCATCTTGCTAGAGGTTTTTCAATTTCATTGTTTTTTTAAAAAAAAAACAAGTTTTTTTTTTCATTGATATCCTCTATCAACTTTTCTGTTTTTGATTTTATTGATTTAACTTTATTATTTCCCTCCTTCTGTTGCTTTGGGTTCATTTTGCTCTTCTTTTTCTGGATTCTTCAGGGACCTTAGATTACTGATTTGAGGTTTGTCTTCTTTTATAATATAAGCATCTACATTTTCCTTTCAGCATGCTATAGCTGCATCCCACAAATTTTGACACGTTGTATTTTCATTGTCCCTCAGTTCGGTGAGACTTCCCCTTTGATGCATGGATTATTTAGAAGTGGGTTGGGTTTCATTTCCAAATGTTTGGAGATTTCCTGTAATCTTACTTGTATTGATTTCTAGTTTGGTTCCATTATGGTCAAAGAACACATTCTGTATGATTTCAATTCTTGGAAAGTTACTAAGTATTTTTTATGGCCCAAGATCTGGTCTATATTGGTATATGTCTTATGGGCACTTGAAAGAATGTGGATTCTGCTGCAGTTGGGTGGAGTGTTCTATAAATGTCGATCAGATCCTGTTGGTTGATATTATTGTTGAGTTCTTCTAGATCCTTGCTGACTTTCTCTCTAGTTGCTTTATCAATTGTTGGGAGAGGAATGTTGAAGTCTCCAGCTATAATTGTGGATTTGTCTGTTGCTCCTTTCCATTCTATCAGTTTTTGCTTCATATATTTTACAGCTCTGTTATTTGGTGCATAACATTTAGGATTGCTGTGCCTTCTTGGTAGATTGACTTTTTTTTTTTTTATAGTTTACATACAGTGTTATATTAGTTTCAGGTGTACAATATAGTGATTCAACACTTCCACACATCACCCAGTGCTCATCATATAAGTGCACTCCTTAATCTCTGTTACCTATTTCACTGATGTTTCACTCTATCTCTGGTAATTTTCTTTGCTCTGAGGCCTACTTTATCTGATACCGATATAGCCGCTGCTTTCTTCTTTTGATTAATGTTTTACATAATGTAACTTTTTCCATTCTTTTACTTTCAACCCACCTATACTGTGTATTTGAAGTGAGTTTCTTACAGATAATATATTATTGTCACATTTTTTACCTATTTTGCCAATCTCTGTCTTTAATTGATGTATTTAGAACATTTGCATTTAATGTAATTACTGATATACTAAGGCTTAAGTCTGTCACTTTATTTTTGCTTTTCTGTCACTTTCCTTTTCTTTCTGTTTTCCTTTTTCTGTTTTCTTTTCCCTGACTTCCTATAGGTTTCTTAAACATTCTACAGAATTCTGTTTTTATTTATCTGTCATATTTTTAGTGTAT